GAAGAGTGAAAATGTGGTTGATTGAAAATTGTGGTAAAGAGTGAGAATTGTGGTAAAGAATGAAAATTGTGGTAAATAGTGAAAATGTGATATAGAGTGAAAATGTGGTATAGAGTGAAAATGTGGTATAGAGTGAAAATGTGGTATAGAGTGAAAATGTGGCATAGAGTGAAAATGTGGTATAGAGTGAAAATGTAAAGAGAGAAAAAAAAGTGTTCCATAATCGTATTGGCTTATTGTGAACCAATAGATTGGAAATAGACATGAGAATATGGTACATAAGAATGAGTAAGGAAAATAAAATGCATGATTATAACAAAAGTGAGAAATAAGTGGAAATGCTATGTTCGCTTGGAGATGGCTATGTTTGATTGTAGATGGCTATGTTTTCTTGGAGATGGCTATGTTTGATTGGAGATGACTATGTTTTCTTGGAGATGGCTATGTTTGATTGGAAATGGCTATGTTTAATTGGAGATGGCTATGTTTACTTGAAGATGGCTATGTTTGATTGGAGATGACTATGTTTTCTTGGAGATGGCTATGATTGTTTGAATTGGGCTATGTTTGTTTGTGGAGAAGGCTATTTTTGGTTGAAATGAGCTATTTTTGAAGGTGAAAATGTCTATTTTTGATTGGAGAGGATTATTTTTGATTGAAGAATAATTTGAATATTAGTGAATGAACTATTTTTATTATTTTACTTTCAAGAAGATTCATCCTGTCGACTAATGACTTTTTTTTTTTTTGCTTTTGCCATTTTGAAAAAAAAAAAAGCTTATTTACATAATGTACAAAAGTTTTGGTCCGACCATCGGGGAACAACAACAATGAGTATTTATAGAGAAAGCGTGACCTCTGGCGGTCGATTTATACAGAGTATTTATGTATATGAAATTTTATTTTTTTTTAAATAAAATATTTTAATATAACATTTTAAATAATATCTTAATATAACATATATATATATAAATAAGTTAAAGAAAGCATCAAGGGCTGCGTATCTTTTATTAACACGAATATAAGACGAGCTTTGGGGCTCATACGCCCTTCTACAGGAATTATAACAAAACGATTATCCATCTAGTCTCAGATATAATTTTATATACATAACTATTGTTTGCATATCGGCCTGATTGAAAATAATTAAGATATTTAAATTTACATATACATAGCATGATTTGGAAAAAATTAAATCTAATTAACATGCGGTAATATGAACTATTTCTATGAAAATTATGCTGCATGTGTTGTTTTTGTTTAAAGCAATCTCATTTTGTATTTTAAATTTTAAAATTGCAAGGGATCCCATCAGACATGTGATATATTTTTATGTGAATGTAATTGTTTTATTTTATTTTATTGTATTTAGGTCTATTGATTCATATTCTTCTGGCAAATCGATCCTACGATTTATACTGCTATATTGCTTGGAAACTATTGCTTCTATTATTAATCTCTGAAATTTATTATTGATGTTGTTGTAATGTACTTTAGGTTCGTTTAGGTTAAAAGTATGTCCTGTTGAATTGGAGTGCTGAACTATTAATGATAATAGGTCATTTTTGTTTATATATCTTCTGTGTTCTGTGATTCTATTATGTAATTTTCTCCCTGTCTCTCCTACACATCTGGCGTTACAGTTATTACATTCTATTGAATAAACTACCTCTTTTTTATATGATATGCATTCGGTTCGCGTGTTTTTTGTAATCGGGTTTCTTAGAATACCCGATAAGTTGGGTGAGTTGCTGTAATAAGTTTTTATTCCGTATTTATCGAGTGTTCTGGATATGTTGACTGATTTCAGGGAATTCGGGATGTAGCAATTTTGCCTATATACTATAGTTTTCTGCGCTAACATGTTAGATACTACTTGTGCCTGATAGAAATGTTTTAAAATGAATGTTTTGGGATAACCTGCTGATGTTAAGTTTTGGATAATATTTTGAGTTTCACTTTTTTTTATATTGATTTAATGAACAATGAGTATATATAAATTCTTTTAGTTAAAGTTTTTACTTTTTAATCTTATGACTGATGGGGCAAAATGAAGAACATTTTATGTAATTGGGGGTAAATGAAGGTTTGTAGTATACTGTTGTTTGCAAATTATTATCTATTTTCATTATTTTGATATCTAAGAATGGCAAAGTGTAATTATCTTCTTTTTCTATCGTAAAACGTAAACTATTGTTATAATTGTTGAGTGAGGCTAAGATGTTGGGAATCTGGTTGCCTATGCAAATGCAGAATATATCATCAATGTATCTACTGTATAATACGATGTCTGTGGGATATAAAGAAGTGATCCAAGTGTCTATTTTTATCATAACTATCTCCGCTAATGGGGTTGATAAAGGGCTTCCCATGGGGGAACCCCTGATTTGTTTATATTGTTTCAGGTCAAAGGCGAATATGTAAACCTTGAGGCATAATGAAATTAAACCTATTATTCTATCTAATGTATTAGAGTCTATCCTATTGTTGTCTAAAAAGGTTTTTGTAGTTTCAAGAATTAAGTTATCGGGGAAACTGGGATATAAGGCTTCTACATCGAATGATACTGAAATATGAACTCTCTGATAATTTGAATTGGCTATTTCAGTGATGAATGATGGAATATTTGTTATTGGCATTGTGAATACATTCTTCTTAATAAATGGCTGTAGAGAGATCATATTTTAGTATCATTCGATGTAGAAGCCTTATATCCCAGTCTCCCCCATAACGTAATTCTTGAAACTACAAAAACCTCTTTAGAAAACAAAAGGGTAGACTCTAATACAAAAGATAAAATAATAGGTTTAATTTCATTATGCCTTAAGGTTAACATATTCGCCTTTGACCTGAAAAAATATAAACAAATCAGGGGTTCCCCCATGGGAAGCCCTTTATCAACCCCATTAGCGGAGATAGTTATGAGAAAAATAGACACTTGGATCACTTCTTTATATCCCACAGACATCGTATTATACCGAAGATACATAGATGATATATTTTGCATTTGCATAGACAACCAGATTCTCAACATCTTAGCGTCACTCAACAATTATAACAATAGTTTACGTTTTACGATAGAAAAATAAGATAATTACACATTGCCATTCTTAGATATCAAAATAATGAAAATAGATAATATTTTGCAAACAACAGTATACTACAAACCTTCATTTACCCCCAATTACATAAAATGTTCTTCATTTTGCCCCATTAGTCATAAGATCAACACAGTAAAACTTTAACTAAAAGAATTTATACTCATTGTTCATTAAATCAATATAAAACAAATGAAACACAAAATATTATCCAAAACTTAACATCAGCAGGTTATCACAAAACATTCATTTTAAAACATTTCTTTCAGGCACAAGTAGTATCTAACATGTTAGCGCAGAAAACTAAAGTATATAGGCAAAATTGCTACATCCCGTATTCCCTGAAATCAGTCAACATATCCAGAAAACTCGATAAATACGAAATAAAAACTTATTACAGCAACTCACCCAACTTTTCAGGTATTCTAAGAAACCCGATTACAAAAACAGGCGAACCGAATGCATATCATATAAAAAAGAGGTAGTTTATTCAATAGAATGTAATAACTGTAACGCCAGATATGTAGGAGAGACAGGGAGAAAATTACATAATAGAATCACAGAACACAGAAGATTTATAAACAAAAGTGACCCATTATCATTAATAGTACAGCACTCCAATTCAACAGGACATACTTTTAACCTAAACGACCCTAAAGTACATTACAACAACATCAATAATAAATTTCAGAGATTAATAATAGAAGCAATAGTTTCCAAGCAATATAGCAGTAAAAATCGCAGGATCGATTTGACAGAAGCATATGAATCAATAGACCTAAATAAAATAAAACAATTACATTCACATTAAAAGATATCACATGTCTGATGGGATCCCTTGCAATTCTAAAATTTAAAATACAAAATGAGATTGCTTTAAACCAAAACAACACATGCAGCATAATATTCATAGAAATAGTTCATATTACCGCATGTTAATTAGATTTATTTTTTTCTAAATCATGCTACGTATATGTAAATTTAAATATCTTAATTATTTTCAATCAGGCCGATATGCAAAACAATAGTTACGTATATAAAATTCTATCTCAGACTAGATGGATAATCGTTTTGTTAATTCCTGTAGAAAGGCGTATGAGCCCGAAAGCTCGTCTTATATTCGTGTTAATAAAAGATACGCAGCCCTTGATGCTTTGTTTAACTTATTTATAAATCTTACAGGGTTTTTCTATTGATCTTAAGATACGTTATTATGAATTTTTCGCCATTTAATTTGGAATTTTATATCAGGAATCTAACCAACAAATCATTGCAGCTCGTGAGATGGAGATATCTCCTGTCATTCAACATTCGATGCGAAGAAGCAAATTTCATTCCGCCTGCCCTGAGAATCAAAGATCCAGTCCAGAACCTGTATTCAGCAAAACTGATCAAGGAAACTCAATACAAATTATTAAGAACCAGAACCAATGGATGTTATTCAAAAATTAGAATCATCTCCAAAACTATAAAGAACATAATTTGTTTACTTTCATTCAATAGCGACCAATTAAATCTAAATGAAATCATAATAGGTATCAACGCTAAAATAGCAATTTTGAAGTCTAAAATAGAAAGAAGACATAACAATAAAATAGATTATTGGATACAGAAATATAATTTCCCAGCAACAAATGAAAAAGATAATGCAGATAATGTGATCAATCTTTCTAAGGCAGTTTTAAATAAAGATGAAATATAAGTATTATCTAAAGTATTAAAGCATAGGCCAATAAGCAAACCAGAGACAATCAAAATAATTAGTGGAATTGAAACAGCAATCAGTAAACTCAACAACTATGAAAAGAATCTACTTATATAATTGCCTTATTCTGTCTGTGTGAAGTTCACTGTGTGAAGTTCACGGATAGATTTTGGCCAGAATGGATAAAATAAAAAAAGGGTCAAGGGATGGGAATCGAACCCACGACCTTCCGCTTACCGGGCAGATGCCATGACCACTAGGCTACCCTGGACATATTTTTCCGTTCATAAAGTTAATTTATATAAAAACTGCTCTAATTTAAATATTTGGTAAGTTTTATTTATTTATATATTTCCATTTTTAGATATAACTGATCTAATTCGCCGTTTAAAATAACTAATAATAGTTCGCTTAATAACACATATAATATAAATATTTATATAATAACTGCTCTAATTCGAAATATTTGGTAGGTTTTATTTATTTATATACTAGACGAATGACCCGGGCAACGCCCGTGTTTTACCCGATTGAATGTTTTTATTCAAATACTATTTGTTACAATTATAAATTGGAGCCGTGGATCTCACTCTTGTGAAACGTCCCGCTCCAAACTTTACATGTCCATTAGGTCAGCTGGTATTAGCCCTCATTTTCACCGCTAGAGGCGCGAGCGAATTGACTTTTTGTAAATATACATAATTATAAAGATAGAAGCTTCTATAGAATATAATAATCATAATGATGATGCGCGCGCATCCGTGACAGCGATGAGGAATTGAGGAAAAACGGTCGTGACTATATATTAATGACGAATGACCCGGGCAACGCCCGTGTTTTACCCGATTAAATGTTTTTATTCAAATACTATTCGTTACAATTATAAATTGGCGCCGTGGATGTCACACTTGTGAAACGTCCCGCTGCAAACTTTGTGTCTGAGAAGCGATATTTTTATAGAAAGATGATCTGGCTTTTGTTTTCTGCTCGAATGAATGTTTTTCTGTTAGAATTTTGTTCCTGCGTACAAAATAATGAACTGGTTTCACCCGTGGTCTCTGCTTTTTGGAATTTTTCCCGATATAATTTTGTATCTGATAATCAAACATGATACAGCAATATCGTCATCATCATTTTCTGACTAAAAATATATAGTTTTAATAATTGATTTATATATATTTTTAAATAGCCTATCGTCTTCCCCGTATTTTTTACCTATGTATGGAAATTTTGGTTTGAATTAGTGAACTACTGCGAATTTGTATACCGGACATACAAACAAACATACAAACAGACAAACATTCATTTTTATATATATAGAGATTTACTCTTCATTGTTGGCTTTTTATATTATATTTACTCTTCATTGTCGGCTTTTTATCTTACATTCACTCTTCATTGTTGGCTTTTTATATTATATTTACTCTTCATTGTTGGCTTTTTATCTTACATTCACTCTTCATTGTTGGCTTTTTATATTATATTTACTCTTCATTGTTGGCTTTTTATCTTACATTCATTCTTCAAGGTTGGCTTTTTATATTACATTCACTCTTCATTTTTGGGTTTTTATCTTACATTCACTCTGTTGGCTTTTTATATTACATTTACTCTTCATTGTTGGCTTTTTATCTTACATTCACTCTTCATTGTTGGCTTTTTATATTATATTTACTCTTCATTGTTGGCTTTTTATCTTACATTCATTCTTCATTGTTGGCTTTTTATATTACATTTACTATTCATTGTTGGCTTTTTATCTTACATTCACTCTTCATTGTTGGCTTTATATCTTACATTCATTCTTCATTGTTGGCTTTTTATATTACATTCACTCTTCATTGTTGGCTTTTTATCTTACATTCATTCTTCATTGTTGGCTTTTTATATTACATTTACTCTTCATTGTTGGCTTTTTATCTTACATTCACTCTTCATTGTTGGCTTTTTGTATTATATTTACTCTTCATTGTTGGCTTTTTATCTTACATTTATTCTTCATTGTTAGCGTTTTATATTACATTTACTCTTCATTGTTGGCTTTTTATCTTACATTCATTCTTCATTGTTGGCTTTTTATATCATATTTACTCTTCATTGTTGGCTTTTTATCTTACATTCATTCTTCATTGTTGGCTTTTTATATTATATTTACTCTTCATTGTTGGCTTTTTATCTTACATTTATTCTTCATTGTTGGATTTTTATATTATATTTACTTTTCATTGTTGGCTTTTTATCTTACATTTATTCATCATTGTTGGCTTTTTATATTACATTTACTCTCTATTGTTGGCTTTTTATCTTACATTCATTCTTCATTGTTGGCTTTTTATATCATATTTACTCTTCATTGTTGGCTTTTTATCTTACATTCATTCTTCATTGTTGGCTTTTTATATCATATTTACTCTTCATTGTTGGCTTTTTATCTTACATTCATTCTTCATTGTTGGCTTTTTATATTATACTAATGATGATGCGCGCGCATCCGTGACATGAGGAATTGAGGAATTGAGGAATTGATTGACGGTGGAAAGACGGTCGTGACTATATATGTTGATTTTAATTTTTAGATATAACTGATCTAATTCGCCGTTTAAAATAACTGCTCTTGAAATATTTGGTATGTTTTATTTATTTATATATTTTCATTTTTTGATATAACTGATCTAATTCGCCGTTTAAAATAACTGCTCTAATTCGAAATATTTGGTATGTTTTATTTGTGTTCACTATATTTCTATTTATTTTAAGTATTATAATTTCCATGTTTCAAAAACCTATTTCAAAAAGGTCGTTAGAAATATGTAATGCCTGAAATAGCTTTGCATGCGAATATTTATAATGCCAAGCGTAGCTTAATAGTTAGGTGTGCGGCTTCGTATTTCCACAACCTTGGTTCGAAACTTAGCCTGGGTGTTTTTTTTTATATTATTGAAGCAAAGTTTTTTTACAGTACCAATATTTCCATACATAGGTTATATATTATATTATATATAAATTAAATATTAAAAATATATATTCAAATTATTCTACTTAGCTCACGAACAGCGCCCTCTATCAAGGTTATAAATACGTTTAAAATCGATATCTTCTCAAAATTTTATTAATAATAATTCGCTTAATAATTAGAATACTTGATCTAAATCGAGATATTTATAGACGCTCGCTCGATTTGAAGATTTACACATGTGTATATCGTAACTAATCTGACTAAAGTTTGGAGCGGGACGTTTCACAAGAGTGACATCCACGGCGCCAAATTTATAATTGTAACGAATAGTGTTTGAATAAAACATTTAATCGGGTAAACCCGGGCGTTGCCCGGGTCATTCGTCTAGTTCTATCAGAAATTCCGTAATCAACATATTAAAAGAGCCAAGTAAAATACCACCAAACAACCAGAAAGACAAAACCGTCATAAATGACCTCAGAAATAGAAAGGACATAATCATCACAAGTGCAGATAAAGGAGGGATGACTGTAGTGATGGACAAAACATATTACATAGATAAAATGAACACCGTATTAGAAGACAAAAGCATTTTTACAATAGTTAATGAAAGCGATAAGAAACGAGAATATGCATATTTCAAGAAAGAAATAAACAGGATATGTCCAAAAAACAATATGATTTCAAACGACGAATATAAATTGTTCGTCTAATTTAGACTCTGAAAGCTACATATACGGAAAGCCTAAAGTACACAAGCAAGGGATCCCACTAAGACCAATAGTTGCCTATCACAGCTCACCACTAGCACCAGTAGCCAGGTATGTTACATTGTTTCTACAGCCATTGATTAAGAACAATGTATTCCCAATGTCAAAAGCAAATATTCCATCATTCATCACTGAAATAGCCAATTCCAATTATCAGAGAGATCATATTTTAGTATCATTCAATGTAGAAGCCTTATATCCCAGTCTTCCCCATAACTTAATTCTTGAAACTACAAAAATATTTTTAGACAACAGTAGGATAGACTCTAATACAATAGATAAAATAATAGGTTTAATTTCATTATGCCTTAAGGTTAACATATTCGCCTTTGACCTGAAACAATATAAACAAATCAGGGGTCCCCCATTGGAAGCCCTTTATCAACCCCATTAGTGGAGATAGTTATGAGAAAAATAGACACTTGGATCACTTCTTTATATCCCACAGACATCGTATTATACAGAAGATACATAGATGATATATTTTGCATTTGCATAGACAACCAGATTCCCAACATCTTAGTCTCACTCAACAATTATAACAATAGTTTACGTTTTACGACAGAAAAAGAAGATAATTACACATTGCCATTCATAGATATCAAAATAATGAAAATAGATAATAATTTGCAAACAACAGTATACTACAAACCTTCATTCACCCCCATTTACATAAAAATTTCTTCATTTTGCCCCATTAGTCATAAGATTAACACAGTAAAACTTTAACTAAAAGAATTCATATACTCATTGTTCATTAAATCAATATAAAACAAATGAAACACAAAATATTATCCAAGACTTAACATCAGCAGGTTATCCCAAAACATTCATTTTAAAACATTTCTTTCAGGCACAAGTAGTATCTAACATGTTAGCGCAGAAAACTAAAGTATATAGGCAAAATTGCTACATCCCGTATTCCCTGAAATCAGTCAACATATCCAGAACACTCGTTAAATACGGAATAAAAACTTATTACAGCAACTCACCCAACTTATCAGGTATTCTAAGAAACCCGATTACAAAAACAGGCGAACCGAATGCATTCTATATACAGTTACGAGCGTCATTCCTCATCGGCCTCTGTCACCGTTTGCTTTTTTTTTGGAATGGCGCCCTTCTATTGGTTGGCTACGGTCACGCCACCTTTGCCCCCCCCATCATGCCTTCCCCACTCGCTCTTTCGTTTTTGTAACTATTGGTTTGGGGCGGGTCGCTCTTTAAATAAATGCATGTAATGAGTTGAGGTTTGGTTGTCTCTTGTAGAATCCTGTCGATTAACCTTGTGATGATAAAGTGTTGACTCTCGCTATACTCTATTGACCAAGAGGAACAGTCAGGATGGGGAGTTTTCCAGTACCTCTCTGCACCTTGTAAGTCCTTTGTTGGTCGTGTAGTGGCACTCTATATGGGCGTAATGCTATTATTTTATCTGTGGTGGTATTGATTTTAACCGGTGGTATGTTCAATTTGGGCACATTGTATTTATTAGTAGAGAACACTTGCGAGAATTCATATAGAATTCGGTGGAGTTCGTGTGGAC